CCAGTGTGCAGCAGGCCTCTGTGAAAGTTTTCCTAGGCTCATTAGTGAAGAGCAATCGCATGCTGGCTTTTGCCAAGTTTGGGTGAGAAAAATGCGTGTACCCTAGAGGCCAGGCCCAGGAGGAGGAGAGCACTTTCCCTGCATTTATTGCAATGGGACCGTTTCTTTAATTGGGAGCCTTGGGAACCCAGTGCAGCTACTCTCTGTGCAGTCCCTCCATCACATCAATTACAAGAGCAGAAGCAAACCGAATTCCCACCTACACCCAGGTGGCCCGGAACTCTTGAGTCTCGTTGGATTTCCCTGCCATTCTCAGGTTACACAATCTCTCTGGAGGGGCCTTGTAATCCCACTCCTACCTGGTCTTCGGGTCTCATGGTAGCTTTCTGTTGTTGGGGCCTTTCCGGCAGGAACCAGCTCTATCTTATGTAATGTTTGGGTAACTACAATCACTCAGGTTACCCTCTAGGGAGCCAATGAGTATCAGTTAAGTGCCTTACGCTGAATTAGACTTTGAGAGGAGAGACCATAAGACATAGTACTGCCTTTAAGGGACTAAAGGGCTAGGAAGAGAGGCATGTAAACAAACAAGATCGCTAGTGTGGCCAATTAGTCCATTCAGGAGGTTCCAAGGAGGCGATATGGACAATCCGAGAAAGCCACAGAGAGATAATGGGTGCTAAGTGTAGAAATGTAGACAGCTTTTATGTATAGTGTGCCAGATCATGAGTGAGTTAAGCATGCCAATCCTGAGTGCAAAGGCACAGAAAGAAAATCACATTCTCTGACAGGTAACCGAATCTTTCAAGTAGTAGATAAAGAAGGAGGGGTGACGTGGGATAGATTATATAATACACAGTATCTGCATCAACATTTTATGTGTCAGTCTCAAGTATTAATTGGAAGTTGATGGAAATTCACTGACGTTTGATGAGATTTGCAGTTTAGTAGAATGTAACGAAGGGGGCTATTTATATTTGCTGCATAATAAACTACCCAAAACACAGTGGTTTGAAACCACCACCGTTTGGTTTATTGTTGGTTGACAGTCTGGGCTATGCTTGGCCAGGCTCCCTCGTGTCTACCCGGGGCTGCCAGTAGGCTGGCCCAGTACCTTCACTCAAGACGTCAGCCTCCAACAGTCCAGACAAGACCAGTACCTGCACCGGCAGAGCATGTTCTTCAAGTCCATGTTGATATCGCCTTTATTGGCACCCAGTTGACCAGTGCAATCACATGGCTGAGCCCAGAGTGGAAGGGTAATCAGAGTCACATAGAAGGGTTGTGGGTACAGGAGAGGGAAGAAATGGTGGCCATTTCTGGAATCACCATAGGGCCACTGTTTCTATTGGAAGACTCCAAATGGGAGAAAATAGTTTTAGATCGATAGAATTGAAAGATAGTAACTGCACATGCTTAAACAATTTGGTAGGTTTGGGCCAACGTGTCCACCAGTGAAATCATTACCACATTCAAGACAGTGAACTCCCAAAAGATTCCTTTGTGAACCCTCCTGGGCCTTTCCCAGGCAATTACTGGTAGGGTTTTTGTCAGTACAGGTCAGTTTGCATTTTCTGGAGCTTTCTGTAAATGAAATGGTACCATACATACTCTTCTGTCTGGCTTCTTCCAGCAAAGTTATTTTGAGTTTCTTCTGTTTTGTCACATTAAAGTCAGAGTTTTTGCATTGTGGAAAAGACAGGCTTTTAAAATTAAATTTTCCTTTATACTAGTGAGGCCTTCCAGCCTCTGGCTAAGCATTTTGAGTGGTGATGCATCACACTTCTCTGAGTGGTTTATTCCAACTTTGTTTTCCTTTTGTGAATCAAAACCTAACTTCCAATCATTTGTTGTCCAACTGGTATCTCACCAACAACATTGAAAGGCATCATACCTGCAAGATAGGGTGCTAGTGTGAGCCATGCCTCTGGAAAGTAGCTCAGGGTGGAGGTTCTCATGCCCTCTGGTGGAAGATGCAGAGATCTGAGCAGGCAACTTGTTTGGAGTGCCTTATGTGTGGAAACAGCACATGGCATGCAGACATGGAAATGAGTGTGCAGGAATGGAAAAAAAAAAACTCGGTTTCCCAATGAGATGCTGATCACAGGAGACCAAAGCACATTCTTGTATGAGATTGAAATTTTTTGTAAAGCTGCTAAGACCTTGGTAATAAGTAGCTCCTATCTGAAGGGCCTCAAAAACCATAAATCTGGCTAATTCCCTGGCTCCTGTGTACTGCTGGGACAGAGTAAACTCTACAAGCTCTAGTCACTGGCTCCATGCTTCTGTACCTTCAAGTCTTGATGTAGGCAGGTGAAAGCACTTTCCAGCCAGGTTCTACCTGAGGCCTACCATTCACTTGTGTTTTTAGAGACATTAGAGCCTTTATCATAGCTCTCTTTTTTGGGCATTGGAAATTATAAGAGTTGTCTATGGATGGCAACCTATCTGGTTGGTTGATAGAAGTCCCTTTTCAGTAGAGAAGAATGACTCAGTTGGATGACCGTGGCCTTTGATCCTATGTGTTTTTTTTTCCCCTGGGTGCATCTCCAGTGGTTTGCAATGGGCTTTACGCTGAAGTTAGGCAACAGTCCTTGATGGAGTTGGGTTTGACCAGTAGATGGGACGAGAGGGTGGGGGTCCACATCCACGAGACAAGGCCATAGAGACTCAGCCAACTTTGTACAAAAGAATCTCTTAGTCCTTCAGCTGGTGGGATAAGTTGCACCTTATAGGCCTGCCTCAGACCTAAGGAGGACAGAGCTCCTCCAAGAAGGGAGGTCAGTAGGAGGAGAGATACATACCATTTCCTAAAGCAGTCCACTTGGACACAATGCTAGGAATGTCTCACCTCAGATCAGCAGAGGACATTTTCATATAGTAGTTATAGGTCAGTGATTTCTGTGCTGCTGTTAGCCATTTTGCAAAGTGGAGAAAATAGGAGCATCTGCCTCCTTAAGGTGGTTGTGAAAATGAACTGAGTTAATACATCTATGTGCTTGGAGGAATGGCCTGGCATACTGTAAACACAAAACAGTCAACTTAGCAAGTATCTATTAGGATGTTCCACATAGTAGGCACTGGAAATAAAAGCAGATAATAAGAACAGCCAACATTCTTCTGGAGTTTTGAGATCATTAAAGTATCTGTTTTTCAGCAAATGTGCATTGGTGCTTCCGTTCCTGACTTGTGGCCTCTTCCACGCAAAGACCCTTGGCTGGAGGCCAGTATCTTGGGTCCATTCCATTCTGGGCCTTAGGAAAACTAGGGTTGTGGCCCCTCACTTCATATTTCCTGCATTTTCCTTTCCTTGAGTCCTTTGTGTCATGGCAGACCAGGTGGTTCTCATCCAGGAGTGATTTTGCTCCTAGAGGACATCTGGCAATGTCTGGAGTCATTTTTTATTTTTATGACCAGGGTGAAGGAGGACACCACTAGTACCTAGTATGCAGAGGCCACAGGTGCAGCTAAACATCCTGTAATGCATAGGACAGAAATACCAGCAAGAATTATCTGGTCCTAAGTGTCAACAGTACCCAGGTTGAAAAACCCAGTGATAGAAAAATAATTTCTATACTAGGCACTAAGGGGAAGGTGGAGGGCAATCAGATACTGTTCAAGTCTCATTAGGATGGTCCTATCATCTTGGCTTCATCTAATTCTGCCCAGGTCTCCAGGGAAGGAGTTTCATGGAGTAGTTGGACGCTAGGACCTTACTGCACTGAATACAAAGTGATTTTATTTTTGAGGGGCACTTTGTGTCACACCCTCAGACACTTGCTGGGGAAGAATGCAGCTAGGCAGAGCCTTCCAGGGTGCAGGATCCTACCTACCAGTAGAAGGGGCACAAGATGGGGACACATAAATGCTGTGTTCATACATATAATACCCACTACTTTATGAGAATCTCTATATAAGACACTTAACACTAGCTGTCTATAATCACCCCAACAGTTATTTACAAATGAAGAATGTGAGGCTGCTTAGAGACAGAGTAAATATCCTAGTACATGGTAAAGTTAGGATTCAAACATTGGAATCTGCCTAAGTCCAAATGTAGTGATAATCAAGAGGGTACAGTAGTCCTCAAGTTAACCTAATTTTTTTTTTTTTTTTTTTGCTTTCAGTTCAAGAGAATCTATCCATTCTACCCAATCCAGCTCAACCGGTATAAAGGATGCTTTGTCCTCTTGGTTCCCTGTTGTGGGGGGTCTCTGGGGCCATTTCCTGGTCTGTACAGATCTGACCTCCAGCATGTGGTGTTCCTAGGGCTGTTCAGAGGGCTAAGCTTTGAACAGAGCGCCTCTCCTATGTGGCTTCCTTGATGCCCTGAGTCAGCTCTGGAGATGCACTCAGCTCCATCTAGACTCATATCCTGTTCAACCCTCTCTGGTCAGGTTTTCCAACTCTGTTCTGCTGGTAATGAATCCCTCCTCTGTGCCACCCTCCTCACTCCATGGCAGTGCAAGTTACTGTAATTAATAGGGTCAAAGGAATGGCTGGCTGTTCACAGTCTCTGTACCTTTTCTGGGCCAACACAGATGCTGGTGGCCCTCATGGATCATGGTGGCTGACACTGAGTCCTTATGCCAGACACTGCTCTGAGCACTCTTAGGTGTAACATTTAATCCCCACCAGAACTCTTCAGGAAATGTATTGTCATCATTGTTACAGATGAGGGCATAGAGACACAGAGAAGTAACTTGTGTAAGAGCATGCCATTTAGTGAATAATGGCAGATTTGAACCCAGAGCCCTCTTAGCCACTGTGCTCTGCTGTGCCTCAAAATATGGCAAGTACTATGAAAACTGGACTGGGTAGGATGTCAAGGTAGGTCTCTGAAGAGCTGTGAGTTTTGATTTGAAGCCTGACTATGAGAGGGAGCCAGGTGTGTGAAGATTTGGCAAAGTGTGCACCAGGCAAGGAAGACCGCAAGTAGACCGGGGCTTTCTTTCACTTAAAATAGACACTACAATGAGTTTCTTGAAGAAGATTCTTATTAACATCCTCCGTATAGGTCAACGGGCACCACCCAAGCAAGATTCAGTAAGTAAAATTTAATGGGGTGAGGGAGATCCATATGATAGATAGTGGTTTCCACACTGAGACCAGGGAAGCCATGGTCCAGCATTCGTGGTGCTAGAAGCTAGAACATAACTGAGAAGGGCAAACATGAGTCAGTAATGTGAAACACTTGTCATTCCTGTCCCCCATCTTCCCAGTGCACTCCATGCCTTCTCCCTTGATGCTTACAGGAGTCTGTGTCCTTGAAATAATGTGCTTTCATGAGAAGTGTAGTTATTGGTTGACCATTCTTTTTCTTGGATGTATGACAAGACTTTTGGTGTGCTACTTCACGTCTGTGTCCAGGAGTGTTTTTCTTCTAGTAAACCATTAATAGTATTTATGTCCTTTCTTCAGATTATATATTCAAGGACACCAGTTATCAGCACTGTTGATCTCTGTTGTCCGTCTTTAACTTTGGTTATCATTGGAAGTAAGCTCCTCTCCTGAAAAGTCTCCTCAGAGCCCCTTTCATGTCCCTGTTCCTCAGGCTGTAGATGAAGGGGTTCAGTGTGGGGGTGACCACTGTGTACATCACTGAGGCTATTGAACCCTTTCTGGACGGATGGGCTGTTCCGGAAGTGAGGTAGACCCCAAGGCCTGCACCATAGAACAAGGAGACCACCAAGAGGTGGGACCCACAGGTGGAAAAGGCTTTGTACTTCCCCACAGCAGAAGAAATGCCCATTATGCAGGAGATAATTCTAGAATAAGAGAAAAGGATCCCAGTCAGGGGAATAACACCCAACAGGCCAGTTACAAAATACAGTAGGATGTCATTGACAAGGGTGTCAGAACAGGCAAGCTTGAGGATCTGAGCAAGTTCACAGAAGAAGTGGGGGATTTCTGTCTCTTTGCAGAAGGCCACCCTCAAAACCATCAGACTTTGCAACAAAGAATATGTCAGGCAGATTAACCAAGAAAGCAGAAGCAGGAGACCACAGAGGCTAGGGTTCATGATGACCAGGTAGTGCAGGGGGTGACAGACGGCCACAAACCGATCATAGGCCATCACGGTCAGTAGCAAATTATCTAATCCAGCAAAAATCATGAAAAAACACATTTGGGTAAGGCAGCCTTCATACGTGATGGCGTTGCTCCGTGTCTGGATGTTCACTAACATCTTGAGGACAGTGGTGGAGGTGAAACAGATATCAGTGAGGGACAGGTTGGCGAGGAAGAAGTACATGGGGGTGTGGAGGTGGGGGTCAGAGCTGATGGCCAGAACGATGAGCAGGTTCCCTAAAACACAGACCAGGTACATATAGAGAAACAGCCCAAAAAGGAGGGGCTGCAGGTTTATATCTTCTGAAAGCCCCAGAAGGATGAATTTTGAAATAGCTGTTTGGTTCCCTGCTTCCATATGATTTATGGAAATTGCCTGGGAAGAGGCAAGAATAATGTTAAGACAGTGACAAAACAAGATTGCGCCATACGCAATAAACTTGTTCATTCATGAAGTCTTATCTTACCTAAGAGTCGTGATTTCTTTCGTTGAACAAAGTCTCCTCAGTAAATACCCTCCCTTCCCTGCTTCTACCACTGCTACTGGGACCATCTCTTTATTTATTTATTTTTTAGTTATTTTTAAGTAATCTCTACACCCAATGTGGGGCTCGAACTCACGACCCTGAGATCAAGGTGCCCCCAGGATCACATCATTAAAACGAATGTCCCACACCATGCAGGGTGGGGGGGGCGGGTCTCCTCTGCATCATCCCCAACTCGGTTGTTCTACCTCTGTTGTGTAGTTCCTGTGAAAGGACCATCAGCCTCATGAGCATCTCCTTTCTGCCCTGTTAGCTGTGGTGTCTTCAAGTCCAGGGAAACGGAGAGAAGAGGGAAATCATGAGGAATTGCAGAATTTAATGATATTTTTTGCTCTCATGCCATTTACCAGTATCTGGGAACGGAACATTCTCATCTGAAGTCTGACTCAGAGAAGGATGCTGTGCAAAGACTTTTATAGATAATTCTTCAACAATTATAGTCACGTCTCCATTGCTGTCCCAATCTGTCCCTCTGTCACCATGATAATGATCAAGTTACCATAATATGCTTCAGTCCCAAGGACTAAATCAGACCATACATTCTAATTATACCCTGCATGTTTGTATTGTAGTCCTATTTCTTTGGGTTAGGACGACTCTGCATCTTCTATTTCATTTTTATTTCATACTCCAAGCACTTAGCACAGTACCTGCTGCTCTGTCTCTATTGGTCGGATGAGTGACAGAAGAAATTTGCAGGGTACTACAAATTTGGTAAGGTATAATTTCCCTACCATAAAATCCTTTAACCAAGAACCATCTATCTTGAAGGCTTTTCAACTGAACATAAAGAGAATGAGAGCCCCCCTTTTTTTTTTTGCACTCTGTTAAAAAAAAAGAAGTAAGCCTGGTTTCTGTTTGCATATTAGGTCTCTGCAACAGGAGGTAATTTCTAAACTCAGGGGCAGCTGTCTTCAATTTTATATACATTTAAGAAAAAGCATGCAAAGTTCCTAAACAGAAGAACAATGAAATTACAAAGAATTGGATCAATTGTTTAAAGTACATACAGGGGCACCTGGGTGGCTCAGTCGGTTAAGCATCCGGCTCTTGACTTTGGCACAGTTCACGATGTCACATCGGGCTCTGTGCTGACGGTGCGTAGCCTGCTTGGGATTCTCTCTCTCCTTTCTCTGCCCCTCTCTCTTTACCCCCCCCCCCCCCCCTCCGAGCCTGCTCTCAAAATAAATAAACTTAAAAAAAAACTTTTAGAACATAAAGTACATGCAATAATTATGTGTTTATCAATAATACCAAACAACATTTAAAGGCAAATTAGGGGCGCCTGGGTGGCTCAGTCGGTTGAGCGTCTGACTTCGGCTCAGGTCATGATCTCGCGGTCTGTGAGTTCAAGCCCCACGTCGGGCTCTGTGCTGACAGCTCAGAGCCTGGAGCCTGCTTTGGATTCTGTGTCTCCCTCTCTCTCTGCCCCTCCCTTGCTCATGCTCTGTCTCTCTGTCAAAAATAAATAACCATTAAAAAATTTTTTTAAGAAAAGGCAAATTAAAGTCTGAAAGGAGGGAAATTTATAATTTATAAGGAACCATAAAAGTGCAGTTTAATACATTAGCTTTTATTTTTATTTTTCCATTTTAGAGACAGTGTGTATGAGCAGGGAAGGGACAGAGGGAGAGAGAGGGAACCTTAAGTAAGCTACACACTCAATGTGTAGCCCAGTGTGGGGAGGAGGTGCTCAATCCCACAGACCATGAGATCATGACCTGAGCAGAAATCAAGAATCAGGCACTCAACCAACTAAGTCACCCAGATGCCCCTAATATATTAGCTTTTAAAAGCAGTAAGAAAATAGTAAGAAAAAAACAAATAGGTCATATTGGCCAAAAAAGACTTAAGTATGAAACTGTTGAAAACATTGCTGTTGGGGCGCCTGGGTGGCGCAGTCGGTTAAGCGTCCGACTTCAGCCAGGTCACGATCTCACGGTCCGTGAGTTCGAGCCCCGCGTCAGGCTCTGGGCTGATGGCTCAGAGCCTGGAGCCTGTTTCCGATTCTGTGTCTCCCTCTCTCTCTGCCCCTCCCCCGTTCATGCTCTGTCTCTCTCTGTCCCCCCAAAAATAAATAAACGTTGAAAAAAAAAATTTTTTTTTAATAAAAAAAAAAAAAAGAAAACATTGCTGTTTATGGTGCTTTTAGAATCACTGTAGAGTATCCTGTTCAATCATACTATTTAAAATATTGGCATTGGAGTATTTCTGTTGGAGTGCAATATTTTCAGGGCATTGCTGTTACTGTTAGGCTCTATTTTACTGTTAAGAGTATAATGTTTATAGTGGTGGACACTTTTGAAACTAAAAGGGTGGTTGAGGGAGCCTGGGTGTCTCAGTCCATTAAACGTCCGACTTCAGCTCAGGTCGTCTCATGGTTTGTGAGTTCGAGCCCCACGTCGGGCTCTGTGCTGACAGCTCAGAGCCTGGAGCCTCCTTTGGATTCTGTGTCTCCCTCTCTCTCTCTGCCCCTCCCCTGCTCATGCTCTGTCTCTCTTTGTCTCTCAATAATAAATGTCATATATATATATATATGTTGTTGAAAAACCTTGACTAACATGACATAGTGTCATGTCATTATAGTGTTAAGTAGAAAGAATGGAACAGGAAGAATAGAAAGCCATTCATGTAGAACAATGGCAGTCTGGAGATGAACTGGGATGGGAAAGAAATTCACCAGAGTGTCCACATTGCTCATATCTGAGAGGTACCTATTTTCTTTCTTTTTTTTTTCTTTTTCTATATTAATTTTCCACAATGAGCATCATTGTTTGTGACCATAAAAAAATTTTTTTTAAATATTTATTCATCTCTGAGAGAGAGACAGAACATGAGCGGGAGGGGAGCAGAGAGCAGGAGAAGCAGAATCCGAAGCAGGCTCCAGGCTCTGAGCTATCAGCACAAAGCCCGACACAGGGCTTGAACTCATGAACCACAAGATCATGACCTGAGCTGAAGTTAGACACTTAACCGACTGAGCCTACCCAGGCACCCCTATTAAAAAAACTTTATGGAGAAATATGTTCACATATTTGAACAGATTTCAGGATGGCCCCTCCTCCCTGTGTCCCTGGGTAAGTCAGGAACACAGAAATCCCTGAATAAAAGATAACTTAGCATGAGCCATTATGCCCAGTCTAGAGGGGGAATGGCATTTGGAAGAGGGAAGAAAAGGGAATGCAGGAGTAAAAGAAACGGCAATTTAGAGATGAAACAAAAGGAAGAAGCTGTATAATAAGTCAGGATTCTCCAGGAAAATAGAACCAATGGACCTGCGAGCTGGAGACCCAGGAGAGCCAAGCTGTGGTTACGGTTCGAGTCTGAAGACCTGAGAACCAGGAGAGCTGATGCAGCTCCAGTCTGTAGCCTGGCAGCCTTGAGTTCTGGGAAGAGCTGACGTTTCAATTCCAGTCTGGAAGCAGGGGGAAGGGCCCCAGCCTGAAGGCAGTCAGGCAGAAAGAATGATGTCTTACTCAGCCTTTTTGTTTATTCAGGCCTTCAACTGATCTAATGAGGCCCACCCCCATCAGAGAGGGCAATCTGCTTCACTCAGTCCAAATGTTAGTGTCCTCCAGAAACCCCGTCACAGACACATCCAGAAATGACCAAGTATTTACCATCACAGAAGCATATAGATTATTACCAGTGATTCAGTTAAAAGGTAGCAGCCTGCACTAAAAGGCTCTCCACCTGGCTGCAACATTAACGAGTCTGATTGTGAATTGGGAGTAACGTTCACTGCCTGCAGGCCTCTGATGGGAGGCAGACAAGCTGATGACCCCAGCAAAGAATGGGAGATACTTGCTTTGATTCTGAGTATGTTGTCAGTGGTGGTGTGTGTGTGGCACACAGAGTGAAAGGTCTGATTTAGAGCAGATTTTTCAGATATGAGAGGAGCATAGTCAGCCTAGATGACAAAGGTTGATTTGATCGCTTCGGGACTCCAATGGATCACAGGAAGACAGATAAAAGGAACCGTCAACGAGAGCATGGAGGCCCACCACGCATAGGACATGGGGAGTCAGGAATGGGTGAGGACGGCTGTGCTGTAAGCCTTGTACATGAAAGTTGGTATTTAGGGAGACTCTGTCTTTGATAGCAAGATGGCAGCAAGAACTTTCACTGGACGCCTTCACCCGCCAATGGGGCTTTAGTTCAGGTCCTCATAGCTTCTCATTTGGGCTTCACATACGTTGGCACCCTGCTAGCCCGTTATGCAGGGGAGTCAGGATGGCTCCAACCGCATCGTTGTTCACATCTTTAAAAGTCATTCAGTGGCCCAGTAGTCCTCCAGGGGAAGGTTCCAAACCCCACTGCCCTCCATGGTTTGGCCCCTGTGTCCTTGCTCTGGCTTCCTCACCCGTTCCACCAACCCCCTCCTGTCTTCTGATCCATCCTTTTTGTATTGAGGAGGAAATTACCCAAAGCTTTTAAATTACTCAAAAGGATAGCTGTGTTTCCTTTGAACACTACAGGAAGTATTGCCTAAGAGGTCAACTTAATTGTCCCATCTTCTGGGGGAATATTCCTTTTTTGGCTTGAGACCTAGACTCTGTGACATCAGTGCTAACACTGATTAATAAAGTACAAGTGATTTTTGTTCACTAGAGATGCAAATGTTTCCATTCAGCTAAGAAGATCACCCCAAAGTTTATTGTTCATTGCCCTGTGGGATATCTCCATCTGATAGAGAAGATAACCCCAAAAGCTATGGTTTTATTTTCCTGTATTTTTGCTTCCAACTTGGAAAATTAATGTCATTATTCCTTCCCTATCTATATAAATCCCTGTTCCCCAAATGCTCAGCAAACTAGCTTTACTCTCCTGGATCCCTCATTAATAATTAAGTCTTTGACATATACTCACTATATATTTGTATGAGAGTCACATTTTTATCTATCGGAAAACAATGCTTTGCCATTAGATACTCCACGTTTCGTACAACGCTGGGTGCATCCAGAGCAGTTTAGTAGCTCTGGACCTTTGCTT